TGCTCACAGCCCCAGGGAGGAGTCAACCGTCACGGCCAGCAGTTCTCAGCTATTTGTTGTCCAAGCCCAAAGGCTTCTTTGTTGTCACCTTCAACTCCTGGCGCGCCCTGGGACCCTTGCATCCACCCATGGGGGCCAACCATCACCCCAAGTGCCCCCAGCACAGTGCTGCTTCCCACAGCCCCCAGCTGGGGGACGGCATCCACACACAGCTCTGCACCACCGGCTGCAGAACAGCAAGATACAGAGCACAGCTCTCAGTGGGGAGCTCACACCAAGGCTGCGGTGAGCCAGGCTCCAGCAGCACCTCCTTTATTCTCAGGTAGGTGTAGTGGTTGTCTGTCTGTCTGTCTGTCTGTCTGTTACAGTGAGGTGTCTATCAGATTGCTGTCACAATAAAAAATGACGGTTCTGTTCAGTCCTCAGGAAACTCAGTCACCCAAAAATGGAAGGAAAATGCAGTGACATGATTCTGTGGAAGCTAAGCACCAGAAATAGGCACTGATTGCTATTGATTACATTATTACCTTTTTACTGTTATTGATCAAGTCTCACATTCCCATTTCATTGTGCTATTTGGAGCTAATGTCAAACTAAGCAGTGTCCAATTTCTCCCATCATCCCCTTCCTCCATTTCAGCTCTGCCACAGGGCAGTTTTGCTGTCTGGGTTTGCTGGGCTTGGCGATGCCTGCAGAACCCTCAGGTCTGGTGGCCTCCAGCAGCTCCTGCAGCCCATCTGGACCTGATGGCTTCCAGCTGACCACAGCTCCCAAAGGCTACAGAAGGGATAATCTGAAAATGGGCAAGATCACAGCATCAGACTCTCAGAGTGGCTTGGAATGGAAGGAAGCTCAAAAATCATCTGGTTCCAACTTCTCTGCCGTGGGCAGAGCTGCCATCCACTGGATTGGGTTGCTCAGAGCCCTGTCCATCTGGCCTTGAAGATCTGGTCTTAGATATGGAGGTTGGTGGCCCTGCCTGCAGCAGAGGGGATGGAGCTTGATGGTCCTTTCCAACCCAAGCCATTCTATGGTTCTAGGATTCTATGATTCTATGATCTGAGTCACGATAGAATAAAGCACAGGCAGCTCCTCTGTGCAGATGGGAGTGAGATGAGGGTATGCCAAGGAATGCATTGGGTGAATCAGTGCACTGGCAAGAAGGCCAGCGTGTAAAACACAGCATAAGGGGGAGTTGAGCTCACGATAAGCAAGGCTCAGGTCTCAGACACTCACACTTCTGAGCTGTATTTCGTCTAGAAGTGTTAAATACTGGGCAGTTTGTTGCATCAGGTTCCTCTCCTCTATTCAGGTCCCTCCACTTGCACTTGGCAGCCTCGTTTCTGCTGTTTGAGTCTCTGAAGTAAGGAGTCTTTGGCACCCAACTGTCCACGGCTGGTGGGAACCAGAGCAAAACATACAGCTGAGCTCCTGGGACAGCCGTCCCATGGGTGCCTTTCTGGGACACGTTTTGGTCCTGACATAACTGCGAAATCTTCAGGGCCGGAAGGATCCTTCAGAAAATTCCCCACTCCCACAGAGAAGGCAGGCACTCCGCACCTCCTGCCCAGGGATGCTGCTGGCAGAGCAGCCACCCGAAGGGAGTCAGAGTTCAGAACCTGCCTCTGGAACCAGAAATCCCATCGGAACTCAGGGACCTCGACCCGACCACAGGGAGCCCAGCAGCACCGCGACGCTCGGGCGCCAGCGCTGCCGTCCCGCTCACGGCCAGCTGCGGCTGTTTGGTGCCCCGGGGCTCCGCGGGGCGTCGTCGGCTCTGCTCCCCCAGGAGCGACGCGGATCTCACGGCCCAGGTCAACAGGTTGAGCCCCGCTGTTGGGGCGGGGGCTGCAGCCCCGCAGACCTCCGGGCCGTCCTCAGTGAACCGCCCGAGGCATCGCCGCCCCAACCGCGGCCGCGCGTGTGCGATCGCTGCCTCCTGCTGGCGCTCGGGGGCTGCCGGGGCCGCGGAGGAGCCGAGAGGCGCCGCTCCGTTCACAGCAGGACCCGTTTCGGCTTTCTGTGAGCCCCGATGGAGAGGAATTCGGTGGAGACCAGCAGACGTTCGTGCTGCAAAACTCACTGCTGATTTTGTCTCATGTCCAATTTTAGAAGAGAGTAACGAGTTTATGGGACTGCTCCTCCTCCAGAAACCACGGGTGCACCAAGCATTGGGTGCTGAGGTCAGAGGAACCGCAGCCACTGCCACGACCTCAACACGGCAACCTTCAAGGACCTTCAAGGACCTTTGAGGACCTCCGAGAACCTTGGAGGACCTTTGGGGACCTCAAACATGTCAGGGCAGGACAGAGTACCAGGATGTGCCATGTACGGCTTTCCACTTATGAGTGGGCTGGGCATTTTTATTAATTAACATTTACTGAGACGCAGTGATGACAGCAGTGAGACGCAGTGAGATCACTCAGCTTTGCTACTGTGATTTATTACCCACTGCAGCCTGCAGATGAAGAGCAATTAATAAAGCGCTGCTGTAGGCAGTGGGAGGAATGAATATAAATGTGGCAATGGAACACGTGGGGCTTTGCTCGCCCTGACTGCTGTGCTTTCTCCACCTCCCTCCAGTGAAGCACTCACTGAAGCTGAAGAGCTTTCCCCCTCCCAGCTCGGAGCCTGACTCAGCACCTGGAGCACGACGAGCTCATGCAGGCTATTTAGCTAACATTTTAACCACGCTCTGAATATAAATCTTCCCAACCAAGTGGCTAATACCCCATTATGCATGCCCCTGTGGGCACTAACTGCACAGCTGGTGATTCATTGACCCAGGGACATTTTCCCATGAGATCTGCACCCTGACCCAGCCAGCACCTCCATCAGGGCTGAGGGCTGTGCCTCGTGTTCAGCTGCTCTTGGAAAGCCAGAAGAGCAGCAGAATCCCTGCCGTGAACCCACACAGTGCACACAGAACCCATCCCAGGCAGGCTGGCTGCTCAAGCTGGGTGACACTGTGGTGCCTGCAGGGATGCCTTCCCCCCAGAGGCTCCCACGCACTGGAGAGGTGCTCAGGTCAGCAGAACCTGAGCACGGTGCTGTTCTGGCCACTGGGATGCCAAGACCAACCTATGGTCCAGCACTCTCCTGTTGACAGAATCAGAATCACAGGAACGGTTTGGGTTGGAAGGGACCCTGAAGATCACCCAGTTCCAACCCCCTGCTCCAGACAGGGACACCTCCCTCCACATCAGGTTGCTCACAGCCCACCCAGCCTGGCCTTGAATGCCTCCAGGCAGGGGGCATCCACAGCGCTGGGCAAGCTGCTCCAGTGCCTTGTTATCGTTGTTCTCTATGCATTTTCCAGTACTTGGTTTGGAAGCACTTTGAAGCTGGGTCTATTGCTTTGTTTCTCACCTGTGCAGCTCCTGCTGAGCGTGCTCCCACTGCTCCCTAACTCCAGGATGGGCAGTGATAAGAGGGGCCATTCCCAGCAACACGTGTGCCCTGAGCACAGCCACGTGTGGCCAAACTGCTGCCGTGCATAGAGGTGAGCACACCCTGCAGATCAACAAGGAGAGGCAACAGAAAGGGAAGCAGACAAGACAGCAAAAATAACCACAGAGCTGGGACTCCATGGAGCTGAACTGCCTTGCAGTAGTGAATCTGTACGGCGGGTCGGCTGCCACTCGAGCTGCTCAGAAACCTTCTGGGAGAAACCTCTGCAGCAGAAGGGTTTGTCAACCAGCTCGTGCTTTGGGCAGGGCTGGGGGGACCCCGCAAAGCCTCCTGCAGGCACAAGCATCCAGATTCTCACCCCAACCTCCAGGCTGCTGTGACAGCCCTGAAAACCCCAAAGCATCTCATTGCAGCTGAATGTATTTATTCGTGCTATGGCTACACCAGATTGCTCTCCTGACCTGTTGCTTTTGATACAGTGCAGCGTCCTATCAGAGATCACGTGGGCTGCTCTCCATAAATACTCTTTGCTAAGAGAGATACAAAAATGCTTTGGGAACAGCAGTTCGAGCAGCATTTCCACCAGCTCTGTTATCACTGCTAAGCAAACAGCCCTGAGTGAACAGACCTTCATTTCCGCTCCGCCTCTCATGGGCTTCCCAGCTTTGACAAAAGCACACACAAAAAAATAAAACCACAAAGAAAAAAAGAAATGTGCTGAAAGTGCCGTGAATTATTACTGTTTTTTTTTTTGTTTTCTTTTTAATTCTGAAACTGTGGATCTCTTTCTCTTTTCTCTTGAACTTGCAGCAGTGTCACTGGGAGGCCCGGAACGGAGCGGGGTTGTGCTGCTGCATCCCTGCCCATCTCATCCTGCCCGTCTCCACCACACAGCTTGGTTCCATGGGTCTCACGGCTGACACGGAGCAGAGCATCCCGGCTCCTGGCACTGCTGTGGGAGCAGGAGTGCAGGGTCAGCCTCCAGACACAGCCCCCAAATCACCGCCCTCACAGGGCTGTGGTTGCTGCCCAGATGAGGATGGTTTTGCTTGTCAGGATGCATGAAGCCCCAAGTTCAATACAGGCACAAAATTGTCTCCAAGTGGGGGTAGAAAATAAGGATCAGAAAGCAGGAATGATGCAGGGGGGAGAGGCAAGCCTTCATCTCAACTCCACACCCAGTAAAACACAAAGGAAAGATGAAAGCAGGTCTCCAGGCTCTGGTGCACTTCCTACTCTTCTTCTTCAGCCCATGGGCGATGGAAATTTTGGCACTTAACTGCTGAGCCAGAATGGCCATAAGACCAGGCAGCAGAGCAATCCCACTCACCTAAGGAATGCTATGCAGAGCTCCAGATGGAAGGACTGCTGTGCTTCCCTCCACGATGGAAGCAGACAGAGCCATGGCTGAGATGCTTCCAGGGGGCTGAGAAGCTCCAGATACATCTGGTGCTCACTCTGCATCGTTGCATGGAGGCGGATTGCCACCAGCTTCAGGCAGAACACAGCGTGATTGGTACAACGGGTCTGCAGACCAAAGTGAGGAGTGAGAAAATGTTGGACAACTCTCTGATGTTGGACAAGTTCTCCTGGTGGTGGAGGATAAGTGGAATGTACGGCAGCAAATTGGTGGGTGATCAAAGAGCAGCATGGGAGCAAAGGACGTGCACTTTACACTGAGCACTGCTGTGTTGTGAAACAATTTTGTAAGAAAAAATTGTCCCTATGGGATGCGAGGACTTGAGACCATTGTCTGCCTCCAGTTCTTTGCTCAGAGAGTGGTGAGGGGCTGGAACAGCTGCCCAGAGAGGCTGTGATGCCCCGTCCATCCCTGGAGGTGTTCAAGGCCAGCTTGGATGGGGCCCTGGGCAGCCCGGGCTGCTGTGAGATGGGGAGGTTGGTGGCCCTGCATTGGTGGGGGGTTGGAGCTTCGTGATCCTTGAGCTCCCTTCCACCCAAACCATGCTGTGATGCTGTGATTCAGTTTGCTGTGGGGTTTTGAGTGTGGCATTGGACGCTGTGGTTTAATGGACATTTCCTCATCCGACCCACGTGTCCCATCTCTGCTGCATGGAGCACTCAGGGGCAGCATCAGTAGCAATGAAGGGGCTGATGGCCCACGTATCCGAAAACCCTTCAGCTTCTCCAGAGCCTGGTGGACAAACCCATGACCCCAATGCAAGCACACCTCACACTGCCTTCCAGACCCCATTCCGCGCCCCCTTTCCCTCAGCAGCGGCTCCCACAGCCGGGATGGAGGCACTGCCCCGCAGGGCAGAGCAGCCGGGCCACGCGCTCGCGGATCTGCCGCGTCCTCACCCCGTACACGATGGGGTTGAGCATCGGTGGGACCACGACGTAGAGGTTGGCCAACAGGATGTGGACGTGGCCTGGGATGCTGTGGCCAAAGCGGTGCGTGAGGAAGGAGAAGAAGGCGGGCGTGTAGAACATGAGGATGACGCAGAGGTGGGAGCCGCAGGTGCTCAGGGTTTTGAGGCGAGCCTCGGGGGACGGCAGCTGGAAGACGGTCCTGAGTATGAGCCCGTAGGAGACGGCGATGAGCACCACGTCCAGCCCGGAGGACAGCAGCGCCGTGGTCAGCCCGTACCACACGTTGGCCCTGATGTCGGCGCAGGCCAGGCGGGCGATGCCCATGTGCTCGCAGTAGGTGTGGGGCATGACGTTGTGCCCGCAGTAGGGCAGCCGTTTCAGCAGGAAGATGGGAGGGAACATGATGCAGAAGCCCCGGAGCACGGCGCTCAGCGCGATCTTCCCGATCACCGAGGGCGTCAGCGTGGACGGGTAGCGCAGCGGGTCGCACACGGCCACGTAGCGGTCGAAGGCCATGGCCAGCAGGACGGATGACTCCACGATGAAGCTGAAGTGGGTGAAGAACATCTGAGTGATGCAGGCGTCGAAGGAAATTTCTCGGGCGCTGAACCAGAAGATCGCCAGCATTTTGGGCACCGTCGTGGTCGAAAGCATCAGGTCGGACACAGCCAGCATGGCGAGGAAGAGGTACATGGGCTCGTGGAGGCTGCGCTCCGTGGCGATGACGAAGAGCAGGACGGAGTTGCTGAACAGTGCAGTGATGTACATCAGGCAGAAAGGGACGGAGATCCAGATGTGGGACTCCTCCATGCCCGGGATGCCGGTCAGGACGAAGGTGATGGGGTCGAAGCTGCTTTCGTTGAGCTCATGCATGGTGCTGCTGCTCCCGGCGTCATAAGGGAAAGAATGAGGATAAATAATGCTGTGTGTTAACCCCTGCCATCGACACATGAATGTTGCTGTGTGCAGCTGGTCTCCAAACGGAGCCGTTCTGAGGCTGAGGGCCTCACTGGGTGCATTTTGCTGCACAGAGGAATCTACTCACCTTTGCCTATCAACCCCCGTGAACTGTGTCTGAATGAGAAACATCTCCGTCCCTCCACATGAGCTGTGCAACAGGTTGAGTCCTCTTTTCTCTCTTACATGCTGTCACAAGAAGGCACTTGGCTTGCTTTGTGGCAGGCAATTGTCAGCCCCATTTGATGAAACAATACAATGCCTCCATCAGTTCAGATCAGTTTCTGAGAGCTCTTGTTAAGTCAGGAATAAAACCAGCTCCGATGCTACCTGGTGTCTTGGGGGTTGTTGAGCACCCCTGGAACTTCTGCTGGACCAGTTTATCCCTCAGTTCCCACCCACAGAAACATGTTGATCCATTTGTAAATGATATAAAGTGTTTTTTCATAGAATCATAGAATCATAGAACGGCCTGGGCTACACAGGAGCACAGCCCTCATCCAGCTCCAAGCCCTGCTGTGTGCAGGTCGCCAAGCAGCAGCCCAGGCTGCCCAGAGCCACATCCAGCCTGGCCTTGAATGCCTGCAGGGATGGGGCATCCACAGCCTCCTTGGGCAACCTGTGCCAGTGCCTCACCACCCTCTGCCTCCAAAACTTCCTCCTCACATCCAACCCAAACCTCCCCTGTCTCACTTTCAAGCCATTCCCCTTGTCCTCATCCCCCCTTATTGTATCCCTGGCCCATCCCAGAGAGGCTACAAAGAGCCGAACGCGGGCAGACCTGCAGGAATGCAGGACCTCCCCAGACCTTCCCAGGCACCGCAGCCATTCCGTGCTGGCTGCCCTTTTCCCACTCAGAGGCGCAGAGGCAGATTTCTCTCACCTGTCAGCTCACTGCTTTCTGCTCCTTTCAAGCAGGAATCCTTGCCTGAACACCGATGCTGGCACAACACATCCCACAGGGTCGGCCCAGCTCTCAGATGAGCCCCAATGGGAGCAGTGAGGGTCCTCCCTGAAGGCTGGGGGCCGTCGTTAAACCTTCCCCTCCCGAACCACAGCAGGAGCTGTGGTGTTTTGTGGGCTTTTAAACTGCTCTGCATTAAAGATTAACCACAAGTGACCCTGCAGGTGAGTGAAGGCATTTCCTGCTCTCCACCATTTGCGCTGCACTCCCATTCAGTGCGCGCAGCAGAGCCTGCATCACCCTGCTGGTGGCCCTGCACTGTCCCACCAGGTGCCTGCTGGCTTCTTGTGCTCCTAAACCTCCCCAGCAGCCCCCAGGTCTGCCCCTGTCTCTGTGGGAAGGGTTCCTCCCTCTGACTCCAACCCACAGCAAACAGCACAGCGGCCGCGTTGATGTGCTCACACTGCACAGCAGCTGCAGAGGCCTCTGCTCAGATCGAGCTGCTGGTCTGGGCCAGCACTGACCAGAACACCAGAACTGCATAACTCATAACTCATTGCTATTGCAAAGGCATTTCTAACATGCGAGATGGTGGCCAAATAAAGGAACTGGAACGACAGCTTTGTTTGAAGGATGCAAAACAATACTGAAGCATCTGCCTGCATCTGACAAGTTGAAGATCTGCCCACGTGGCAGAAAAATGAGCCTGAAGTCCTAAGGACTCTGTGAACTGACGATTTCTTTCCACACAGAACCAAAGCAAAGTGATTGAGAGTAGCTGTGTTCTTTTTGGACGAAACCAGCAGTATGAATCCAGTACAACTCGGCTTGCAGTGCAGTGCCTGTCATCCAGAGATTTCTTGCAGGGTTCTATTGCCGTACTGCCTCAGGCTCAGAACAACAGATGCAACCAACGCATGCAGACAGCAGATACACTTCAGGACTTCCATCAGCTGCACACCAACACAGAGTCACAGAGTGCTTCCCCCCCTGGCTGCCCAGTGCTGCCCTGCTCCACTGCCCCCTCTGCCCATCACCTGCCCTGCTCCTCCCTGCCTCATCCTGCCTCTCTTTTGCCCACCTCCTGCCCCTCTCCTGCCCAGCCCTCACTGCAGGAGCTCTGCATCTCATTCATCTGGAGAACACCAGGTGGGTTTCTGGTACCATCAGTACCGGTCACGCTCAGCCCTGCCCACGTTCCTGTCAGCATTTGCTGTAACTTTCCAGTTTGGGTTTGCTGTCAGAGGGACCGGTGCCCATAGCACCAAGCTGGGAGGACCTGGAAACACCAGGATTGAGAGGATCAGCCCCACCATGCAGGGCTGGAGTCGCTGCCGCCCCACGGATGCTGGGGCAGCCCCGGTCCATCCGTGTGCACCAAGCCCAGTAGGCAGCGGGGCACGATCTATAGGTCAGCAACGAGCAGAGTGCAGCTGGGGTCAGTGCTGGGTCCGATCCATCCAGCGTCACCATTAAAGGTCTGGGCAACGGGACAGGGCACACCCTTGGTACAGTCACAGATAGCATGAAACAGGGGAGCCGCTGTGGGGCCGGCACCACGTGCTGGAGGCTGGAAAGGCGCCGTGTGCTCCGCTGTGGACTCTAGAGGTCTCTGTGAGGTAAGAAATGCTGTAGGGCCGCAGCGCGGGCAGTGGGATCCTTCCCGGAGAGATCCTGCAGCAGCGGCACTGAGTGCAGTTGTGGTGAATGAGGAGGGTGAGGGGCTCCACAGCCTGGCACGGAGAGGATGCCAGCCCCCAGGTTTGCAAGGCACATCGTGGCACAGCCCCGTTCAGATCCTCATCATCTCCTCCGGGGAGCGTTGGCTGCCCAGCACGCGCTGCAGTGAGCAGTTCCCAAACACCATCGCTGCCTTGGGGGGCGCTGCCAACCCCTCACACACGGACCCTCACTCACACGGAGCACAGACCCTCTGCACCGGGTTTGGGCCTCTCCTGGGGGCTGCTGGCAACACATCGGAGCACCTCTGCAGCCCCGTGCCCAGGGACAGCCAATGGCACAGTGCCTGGTGAGGGACCCCTCTTTGCTGTGCCGTTTTCCCCTCTTCATGCTCCCCCCCCTTTTAGCCCCGCAGCGGGGCTGTGGGGACACACAGGCTGTGCACACTGTGCTCCCTGCACAACATCACCTGCTCACGTTCCCAGGCCGGGCTCAGCTGGTGCTGCCAGCTCTGCTAACGCAGCCGCTGCGCCATTGTTTGAAGGCTTTTCAATTATCGCTGTTTATTTCACAGTCCTCGTCCTCCCAGCACACGATGCTTCCCTCCCCACTCTGTGGTTGCAGAGATCACGGCACAGCCTGGTTCTGCTCTGGCACAGCCGCAGCACAGCAGAGCTCCCTTGGGTCGGTGCTGATGCTTTTGGCATTTCTCTCCCGCCGCCGCTTGGAGCCACCGTTTCCTCAGAGCTGAGCGCTTTGCTGTGGGAGCAACGAGGTCCCGCGGGACCCGAACGCCTCCCCACACCGGGAGCAGTGGGTCAGAGTGAGACGCAGCACCGCAGCTCTGGATGTCCAGGAGGAGCCGTTGGCCCCTGCCTCCTCCGTTCCCTGATGCCTTCAGTGCCCAGATGTCTGCAAAGCAGAGAAGCCAAACACTGCTGGGAGCAGCCTGCCCTCCCCGCAGCTCCTGTCCCACACCCGGTGCATCTGCCTGAATCTCAGTGTCTCATCTGTCTGAAGCCACTGGGGCAGATCTCAGCGCTTGCACTCCAGCTGCTCTCCAAAAGGCACCTCTGCAGTTCAGCCCTCATTTCACCATTGGACTTGGTTCTTTCAGTTTCCAAAGCACAACACTAAGAATGTCCCACAAAGAGATCAGAGCATGCAGACTGGAGTTCCGCAACACCAAATTGGTTGCATTTTTCTTCTTCCAGAAGGAAGGGAGGGGAATTGCTCACACCAGAAGTGCCCAGGAGGAGCCCATCTCCTGCTCATGGGCCATTGCTGGGCTGTGCCGTCCTGGGAAAGCTGAGACCCCCGACTCTGTGCATGCCCAAACATTTGCTTTATAACTGCATTTCCAACCACAGAACTCGCAGAGCGATGCTCAGTATATATTTAAACTTTAAGTGTTTTCTCTCTGGGAGAAGAGGAGGCAGAACACGGTGCTCACCGCTCATAATAGCTCAGCAGCAAGCGCCACACGGCCTCGAGGTCAAGAGAACAGAAATGCAGAGAAGCAGCAGCACGGATGCTCCAGAAACGCTATTTTTGCTCCCAGGACCATCTTTCCTCTGAGAGCTTTCCCTGTGTGACGTGGAGATCCCACGGCAATAGGCGGGGAGCAGGGCAGAGCAGCGCCAGCAGCAGCACGCTCTGCTCCAACCTCAGCACTCTCAAGTAGCCGTGGCGCATTTGTCAGCCCCGCTCAGCACCAGCATCGTGGTGCACACAAAGCAGCTGTGCACCATTGGAAGCAGACAGCTGGCAGCACGGAGCTTTTACCTGTGTGGCAATGGAGACACGGAGCACAGCAGCACCAGCCCTCACCTGCACGGTGCTGTGGCCATGGCTACACTCACTCGAGTCCCACTGCTCCCGTGGCCATGGCACTGCTGCACGGGACAGGAGTGTCACCTCATGTCTCCTAGGGATGGCGCTCGATTCTCCAGCGTTGGGCATGGTGGGGATGGGCTGACATTTGGGCTCGATGATCTTGGACGCCTTTTCCAACCAACCTCTCCCTTCCAAGCCGTTCCGTGCTCCGATGAATCCAGGCTGGCTGGGCGCTGCTTTATCCTCAGTTACTGTACACAGATCCTCTGTGCTATTTTCGATGAGCTCACAGGCAGTTGGCTGCTCTCTTATTTCTGTCCTTTTCCCATTTCTGGAAGGAATGGCACCAGTGCCACATCAGTGCTGCTGGGTTCCACGCCGCAGGCTGGCACAGCACAGCCATGCTGTGGGGCAGTGGGCAGCAGCGCGCTCCTATTGCACACTGAGGACACACTGAGGATCCCTTCGGGTGCTCAGGTGACATTTGGTGTCACGTGGAGGAATGAGTGCATTGGGTGCAGTTCTCAGCTCACCTGGATTTGCTGCCCTTCCCTCTGGCGTTGTAATCAAAAGGGGGCCGGGGGGGAGGAGGGAGACACTTTGCAACAGGGTCTTTGTGGTAGGACAGGGGAAATGGTTTCAAACCAAAAGAGGGGAGAATTGGATATAAGGAAGAACACTGAGGGTGGTGAGGCACTGGCAGAGGTTGCCTGGAGAGGGGGTGGGTGACCCATTGCTGGGGACACCCATGGTCAGGAGATGGAGCACTGAGCATGGAAACACAGAATGGTTTGAGTAGGAAGGGATCCTTAAAGGCCCAATTTCCCTGCTGTGAACTGGAACAGCCACAGCTGCAGCAGCTGCTCAGCAGACTTGGCCATAGGAGCAGAGCAGAACACAGGTACAAAATGCCAACAATTATCTGCAGACGGCGACTGCTGCCCGTGTGGAGGACAGGCAAACACAGCAGGACCCCGGCTGTGGAGAGGAGCGCAGGGCAGCCAGCAGCGCACGGCTGGAAGCTGAGCATTGCCCCGGTGGGTGAGGGGATGGATGCCCTCAGAACGAGCCCTCCTTCCCACACGTGGTACGGCTGCAGTGCACTTCAAGGGCAGCAGCTGCTCCAAAAGCAGAGCCTTCATCTGCACGTCTCCTGCACCAACCCTAAAGCTCCATCACTGTGGCCATCGACCCAGGACAGGCAGATCTTGCTGGGCTGCCTCTGCCACCTGCACCTCCCCAGTGCCTCCCCAGGGACCTGCGTGGAGGTGGGGCTGTGGTGCACCCAGGTAACATCTCCCCATGGTCCCCAGCGGCTCTCCTTTGACGTGGTAGAACCTATCTACCAATCTACCACCAATGCACCCACAGTTTACGTGGGTCTGACCCAGCAGAGGCTCTGGCCCTTTCCCTCAGAGGACAGGACAGGGATCTCTCCCGTGTTTGGTTGGATGAGGTGGGTCGATGGTTGGACCTGATGATCCCGGAGGTCTTTTCCAACGCCGATGATTCTGATGCTGTCTTTCCAAGAGAAGAACAAAGGGAACAGATCAGTGAAACAAAGAACAGAACCACCTCAAAGCTATCAGAAATAGAGGCGGTTTCACGTGCTTGTGTTGTAATTAGTCCTGGTGCTGCAAGCACCACTTGT